CGTCCCAAACTCAAAAGTGTACATTTTCTGGACCTCACAACTTGACTTTTAAGTATTCATTTTCAAGCGTGCCTCTTGAAGGCTAAGATTAGGAAAACAAAAGGAAAAATTGCAGAAACCTCCCCTAAGATTTTTGACACTTGCACTCACCTCCCCGTGGTTTGAGAAATTGCATAGACCTCCCTTAAACTTACTGATTCTTTGCATATTCAGTCCAGATGATTAAAATATTATTTTAGAAAATGAAATGAGAAATTTGTGTCAGATTTACCCTTTGTGTTATATGTCAAGTAATATTAGCAAATGAATGACATAGTACTACAAATCAATTAACAATTAATAAACTTTAAGGGATTTGTTTATGGGCAAATAGGTATTATCTATTCAAAATACTAGCTCTTTATGGGCATTTTACTCTCAAACATTTAATTTATGATAAATACATCAATGTTTGTAAATAAAATTCAAAAAGTGTTACAGTAATATTACAAAAAGGAAACTGGTAGGTTATATATTTAATATAAATTAAATATTTTTAAAAAAAGAAATGGCTCATAAAGTATTAATTCTTTATGGTTTTCTTTCATTACATGAATAAAGTTTTTGCTTTTTATGAACATTTTATTCTGAATCATTTAATTTATGTAAATACATAAATGTTTGTAATTAAAATTGAAAAAGTGTTACACTAATATTTTTACAAAAGAGAAACCGGTAGGTTTTGTATTTAACAAAAATTAAATATGTGAAAGTAAATACAAATTTAAATAGAGGTTTCAAATTTTGAGGCCACATCATATGAATACAGGTAAAATACAAATTTTTTTTGTAAATGTAAATTGCCTAATAGAGATTTTGAGGCCATAACACGTGAATAGAGGTAAAATACAAATCTGTTTTCAAATTTAAATTGCATAATGGAGATATCAAATTTAAATTATTTTGACCTTTCACATATTTAATTTTTGTTAAATACAGGACCTACTAGTTTTCCTTTCGTAAAAATATTAGTGTAACACTTTTTCAATTTTAGTTATAAACATTTATGCATTTAATATAAATTAAATGATTCAGAATAAAATACCCATAAAGAGCCAATACTTTGTTCTTGTAATGGAGAAAAGCCATAAAGAATTAATACTTTATGGGCCATTTCTTTTTTTAAAAATATTTAATTTATATTAAATAGATAACCTACCAGTTTTCTTTTTGTAAGAATATTATTGTAACACTTTTTGAATTTTACTTACAAATATTAATGTATTTATCATAAATTAAATGTTTGAAAGTAAAATGCCTGTAAAGAACTAGTACTTTGAATAGGTAATGCTTATTTGCCCATAAACTACTTCCCTTAAAGTTTATTAATTGTTAATTGATTTGTAGCACTTTGTCATTCCTTTGCTAATACTACTTGGCATGTAATACAAAGGGCAAATCTAGGACAAATTTCTCATTTCACTCTCTAAAACAATATTTTAATCGGCTAGACTGAATATGTAAAGAATCTGTAAGTTCAAGGGAGGTCAGTGCAATTTTTCAAACCACGGGAGAGGGGAGTGCAGGTGTCAGAAACCTCAAGGGAGGTTTCTGCAATTTTCCCAAAACAAAAAAAGATTACTTTACCATTTCTGAAAGTGATAGAAATTTGGGATAATTTCACAAACCTCCCCTGAGGTTTGTGACAATTTTACTTGGCTCCCCTTAGGTTTTACAATTATACTGACCTCCCTTGTCACAATAAAATGACTATAATGACCTTCATTTCATAAAAAATTCATAGTATAATGAAATGATATTAAAAAAAAGGAAAAAACCTGACCTCTTCGGCTATCCTATTTATAAATTACAGACAACGACGATTTTCTATCACTTACTATCACTCCATTATCATCCATTAACTTCCTCCTGTAATTCGCTCCCAAATTATCACTAACCATTGCCTGTAATTACAGCTAATCACACCACAAGTGATCCCCCAAACTCTACTATATATTTCTATTCCTCTTTTCTTCTCTTTGGAAATGCCAAATTACAAGTTTAGTTAAGGGATTAAATTTGATGGTTGAAGTAAAATTCGATTTCATGGTCAAACTAAAAGGAGATGAAGAGGCACACAATAATAATGGAACAAATCATACAATCATTGGCCAAAAGAGGAAGAGGGACTGAAATTGGTAAATTTGCTAATTTGTCTATCATCCAAACAAAAAACTTTTTAAGATGTTAATAAGTACATTTATATTTCTTTTTATGCTTGACAATTATTGGATGTGATTTCGCTATGGAGATAGAGTTTCTTCTCTATATTTAACACGTTAACATGTTTGGAGATTTTATGGTAGACTAGGTTATTTGTTTTGAGAAGGTGTGGGCATTGGGTTTGAAGTTTGGGATGTGATTAGTTGTAAATGAAATTTTGGTTTTTGGCAAAATGAATTTCTTGAAAATCTTTATAGTCTAATGATGCCTTTCCTTTTCTTAAACTTGATTAATCCCATTTATGTCTAAATCTCCCTTAAGAATTTTCTTCAAGATCATAATGTGGCTCATGTAATAGGAGTTAAGCCACTTATATGGAACCAAAACCATGGCATCCTATGTTGAAAATTATGTAAACATAAGGGCAGTTGATTGTGAATTTGACCATTTCATAGAACCATATGATGAGAATATTTCTGAAGAATGAAACAAATTTTCAAAATTGAATGCATGCTTTGGGAGAAGCAATTTGATGACTATGATGATGGAATTGTTTGGATTTAGAATTTGGAATTAGACTATTTGTTAGGTTAGTTTGTTAGTATAGTGGGTTTGGTTGAAATATGGAGGGAAGTAATTGGCAAAATATTTTTTGTATTATTTTTGTACAAAAAGGGTAGTTTAGGATTTTTGAGAAAAAATATAGTCTTTTGGGCCTATATTGTTATATAAACAGTAAAAGGAAGGGAGGTAGGTGTAATTTAATAAACTTGAGGGGAGGTCTCTGCAATTGTTAGAAACCTCAGGGGAAGTTTCTAAAATTATCCCTAAACATTTTGGGATAAAAAGTAGGGATAATTTCAGAAACCTCCCCTGAGATTTCTGACAATTTCACTGAGCTTCCATGAGATTTGAAAAATTACACATACCTCCATTGTCATTTAAAATGACAATACTACCCTTAAATATTTTAATGAAATTCGCTTGTTTGGTATGCTTATACTTAGAATGACTTTAAAATTATTTTTTCATTCTTTTTCCTTATTATCCTTTTTTATTTTAATTTTTTGCCAATAAAATTGTAAAATTACCACTATTATTTCTAATTTCTATTGTAACCAAATGTCGAACTAATGATTTTTTTTATGAGTTAACTTTATACGTAATCCAATGTTTTTTGCTAATCTTTGTTTTCTATTTTCTAGTATTAAAATTAACAATAAAAAAAAATTGCCCAAAATTACTACTAAATTATGATAATCCCACTATTCAAAAAAAATCATAAACTCTGAATCAATTATTTCAACATTTTATTTTCTATCTTATAAATCTAAATCCATAATAAAATACCATCAAAAGTATCTTATCATAGTGATAAAATTATTATTATAGTTGTTTATCAAATAGTAGGTATGGACATGAAAAATTTGGCACCTTTTCCTTATAATTATATTAGATAATCTTATAATTCTATAGGAAAATAAATTAAAACTCATTACACAAGGGCATTTTTGGGTATTCATTTAAAAATTTAACCAAGTTAATATTATTTTAAGGTTTTGTTACTAAAATTATCAAATCAAGGAAGGTACGTGTAATTTTTTAAATCTCAAGAGAGTTCAATGAAATTGTCAGAAACCTCCTAAGGTTTCTGTAATTATCCCTAAAAAGTATGAGACTTTGAATTAGAGAAAGGGCATATAAAGGAAGGAGTTTGCAATTGATTGTTGGTGGATTCAAATTATTCGTGAATTACAAATTATTATAGTGTTTAAAAGGTGTTTCGATAATTGATGAATTATAAATTTAAATATTTCTTAAATAATCTAAATAATTGTAGCGATTTGATGAATTTCAAATCTTTCATCAAATTTCTCAATCCAAACGAAGCTGTGTAATTTCCGTTGACTGTAGTGACGGTGTTTTTAGTATTTCACGGTTGGTGTTGGCTGTAAATTGTAATGGAAATAATTTGGTGCACATGTGATGAACTGTCGGTAAATTTGTTGGTTCTGTTTGTGGCCTAACCATGTAATTTATTACTCTCTCCGTCCCATTGATAGTGTCATACTTTCCTTTTTTATCTGTCCCAAAATAATTGTCACTTACTAAAATTGGCAATGAAAACTTTCACACATTTTCGCTCCATATCCTTCAATGTGACAGCCTTTTCTTACTCCCTCCGTCCCACTTTGATAGTCCTGTTTTCCTTTTTCGTCTGTCCCAAATTGTAGTCCACTTTCCAATTGAAGAATGTAGTTGTATTTTAATTTTTCTAAAATACCCTTATTCAATGTAAGTTGTTATTACGATAAATCTATCCTATTTAATAAGAGTTGATTCTTTTTTTACCATCAATTCAAGTTCTCATAAAGTTGTACTCTAATTAATGTGAGGGTATTTTAGGAAAATAGTTACCTAAATTGATTGTTCCAACAAAGTTAACTACTTTTTCTTAACCTGTGTGAAAAAAAAATCAGGACTATCAGAGTGGGACAGAGGGAGTATCTTTTAGTGGGCCTAATGTAACACATTTCCGCTCACTTACCAAGTACCAACACTGCATTCAATAGTTCGTGACTCTCACGTTAAATGCATATAGCAAACGTGCATGACACTTTCCTCTAAAGTAGTGTGGAGACATTTAAATTTTTTGGATCCCACATGTCTTATCACAACTTGTGCCTCTTTTATCATTCACCCACGTATGACTACATTGGAAGTCAAGCAGGGCATTGCCGGAACTTAAACGCAAATCATTTACAAGTCTTGCACTGTTGATAATAATTCCAATTCCCGAAACGCGACACAGTTTCTGGGACAGAGGGAGTATTTGTCCTCGTCTGTTTCTGCTGGTTAGGAGAGGCGGCTGTTTCGTCTTTCTGATCTTTGTAAGCATTGTAGCTGTGCGATGGTCCTGACCTAATTCAGTGGAAAATAAGCAGTAAAGATTCTGCTGCTTCTTCATTTTGTCTGCCTAAATAACACCCTCTCTCTCGCAACACATGAGGCCTCTGCTGAACTAGTGTTTGTTAATTTCCCCACTGTACATTGTGGGGTGGAATTCAATCGCTGGATAAAATTTTGATCATTCGCGTATTAGACTGTAAACCCAAAATAAAATTGAGTGCAATGGAGGATTATTACTATGGAAGCAGTGACGATGAGAACTCTGATCAGTACTCTGATCGAGTTGACGATGATGATGGAGAAGACTCTGTTGATGGGCTCCAAGACCAAGAACTTTGCAGCAAAGATCCCTCCTGCACGGTATAATTTATATTTTCTCTTATTATTCCCTGGTTGATGAGCAAGAATTGAGTCTTGGGGTCCTACAAGTCCTCTATTTTATCCTATCATGTATTTTCTTCATCGGCCATTATCTGTTTTGTTGGAGTGAAAACAGGGCTGGGTTTAGTTTTGGAGATTTAGACACTAACAATTTTATTTAAGATAATTTGTTGTCGCTTATGATCATCTCGAGTTTTTTATGTCTCCGTTGAACAGAAGTTTTAGTAAATCAGCGTGTGGAAGAAGTACTGTCAGTTACTGAACTGCCTATGGCTTGCACCTCAACTGAAGATGAAAAAGAAATATATAGCATCTGAGAATGTGAATTTCTACTCTTTCTGGTTAGTTATGTATTCTGGAATAGAAGAGGGGTTATGGTTGTTGGCTTTATTGAATTTGACCTTTGATACTAATATTCGTACTCCTGATTCCTGAACTTAAACTGCTAAACAAACAGGAGTTTACAGTTGCTGGCTTTTCTACATTCATCTAGCATTCACCGATTTGTGTCTGTTATCTAGGTCTTTATTGTACTTTTTATAAAGAGAAGAGGAACATTGGCATGATTATGCTACTTGCCTTTTGCTCATGCAGGTGATCAGACAAGAGTCTCTTCTAGCTGCACAGGTTAGACACACTCATTAGATGTCTGCTTTTGTTGATTTGAGTAACTCTAAATAAGAATAAAGTTTTGAGTTGTTGCTTATGTTGATTTATACAGAAAGAAGTCTTTCAAAAAGTAATGGATTTGCTGTCCTTAAAGGAGCACCATGTGCGGACCTTGCTGATTTATCACTGTTGGGATGTTGAAACAGTTTCAAAGGTGTTCGTAGAGAGAGGTAAAGAACGGTTATATTCAGAAGCAGGTCTATCAGTCAGGAGCAGCAAGGACCTTAACTCCTCTCAGTCTTCAGACGAAGTTACCTGTCAAATCTGCTTTAAGCATGTCAATGCTTATGAGTCCTCGATGATGGATTGTGGCCATTGTTTTTGCAACATCTGTGAGTCTCTTGCTTGATGGCATTCTATCTTTTCATTTGACTTTTCTCATGATGCCAGATCCTGCATATGCGTGTTATCTAAATGAAGATTAAAAACTTGTAATCAATTTCTTGGTCCTTGGAAGAATGTGTTAATATGAAATACAAATTCTGTGTTTTTCAGTTAATGTTTGGAATGGTAGCTGAAAATTGAATCTCTGAAACTGTGCTCATGTTCTGATATTCCAAATCATAACGGATGTTAGAACTTCAATTTATTTGAGATACATTGAAGAATTAACAAATATGAGAAACTATAAGGAGGAGTTTCGGTCACACATCCTCAGAGCTGTTTATTCTGTGAAATTAAAAATGAGGTCAAACAAACTTGAGTTTTAAATTAATTTTTAAGCTTGTTGATTAGAAACTATTGGATAATACGGTTATTTGTTAAATAACTAGTTTGCTGATGATGTTTGTCATGTTGCACTTCTTAGGCACTATAAGAATAGAGTCAAGGTGCATGTTAATGCAAATCACGCATCTGCTTTTAACTTTCTTTTTTTTTTTAAATCTCTTTCATCAAGTGCTTAATTTTGTAACCAGACCTCATAAAAGCAGCAAATTTAAAGGGTTAAGTAGATTGAAGTTTATTTCAATAGCTGAATAGCTTGAGTTAGATGCTCCAGTGAATTGTTTAGTAGATGTGTCTATTAGGAGGTTCTTCTATGCTGTAGTTGCAGAATGTTAAGCATTTTCTGTTCTTTTCTTTTGTTAAGGTTGGACACAGCATTTTATCATGAAGATACAAGGGGGTCAGAGTAGACGGATTACATGCATGGCCCACAAGTGCGAAGCAATTTGTGACCAAGAAAATGTTAGAAATCTAGTTAGTACAGCAGATCCTCATCTTGCAACAATGTTTTATAAGATTCTTTTAGAATCATATGTTGAGGATAATAAGAAAGTAAAATGGTGTCCTAGCCTTCCTCATTGTGGAAATGCAATTCGTGTTGAGCGCGATGAATATTGTGAGGTTGAATGTGCTTGTGGTGTACAGTTCTGTTTCAGCTGCTCATCTGAAGCTCGCTCGCCTTGTCCATGTTTGATGTGGAAGCTTTGGAAGGAAATGCGCCAGGATGAATCAGGGATGGTTAATTCTACGAATACCAAGTATTGCCCTAAATGTCATAAACCAGTGGAGAAGAATGGAGGATGCAACCGAGTGCATTGTTTGTGTGGACAACAATTTTGGTGAGTCTTCCTATTCTTTGTTGGTTTAAGATTCTGACTCAGCTTATACAGTTTGACTTGTCCAGTCACGGAATTATTCATTCTGCACAACATGCACGATTTAGTACACTTGTACTTTTGCAATCTAATCATAACTAGCACCCTATGCACAGTAAGGGCATGCAGCTGCTATCCACAAGTTCATTGGCAGTTTCAAATTTCCTGCATTACGTTTTGTTAACTTGTTAACTTTGTCTGCATGCTCCTTGCTACTTCTTTCTCATCTGCTTTCTTAATTGATCCATGTTTATACAACTTTAGTCATCCATTACCAAAATTTATCAGCAAAACCATGTCTTTGATTTTCATTTGTAGATAAGAGAATGGATTTTGCCTGCTTTCTAGTACTGCATGTCTTTTCTGCTATCTTACTGCTTGCCTGATATTTCAGTACATGAAGGACAACTTCTTTTTGTTTCTTTACTGCATGTTGTTAATATTTTGTCTTGGATATGTTTTGGCAAAATTAAATGATGCGATTTACCTTTTCGTCCTTACTTTCACAGTTGGCTTTGTGGCGGAAAAACTAGCACAAGTATTGCAGATCATCATCCTTGTGGCCAATATAAAGACGATAGATTGGAGAAAGATGGGCTTGCAAAAAGGCAACCTTGGGGCTATTCTCACAGTTGTATTCAGTTCAAAGCCCACACAGACTCTTTGGAGCTTGAAGCAAGGTTGCAGAGCAGGTTAAATTCAAAAATTGAGATCTTGGAGGAAAAGAACCATGAATTAAGAGATTTTAGCTGGGTGACTGTTGGATTCAATAGACTTTTCAGATCAAGGAGGATTCTCTCCTATTCTTATCCTTTTGGATATTACATGTTTTATGATGACCAATTCAAGTACGCAATGGAACAGAATGTCAGGGAACCAAAGCAGAATCTTTTTGAGGACCATCAGGAGCAGCTTCAGGCTAAGATTGAAAACCTTTCGGAACAGCTTTTTGCTGATTGGGAAGAAAGGGACGTCCTCGATACAAGACGGCAGATTATTACTCTCTCCACTGTTATCAATAACCTCTGCAAGAATTTGTGAGCTTTACTAACTGGACTTGAACCTGAACCAAGGAACATCTGAAATTGAGAAACTGGACTAGTTTTATTTATAATAATTAAGTGAAAGGGCTAGGACTTTATTTAAATTCATTTTTTTTTTTTTGGCAAAATCTGAGAATACATATGGCTATTTGCAGGTATGATTGCATCGAGGAATTATTGCCTCCCGAGCATATTATAGTTCCATATAGGTGTATGGGAGTGAAGAAAGCATCAGAATTTCATTAAAGGTACTCTGTAAGAGGTGGTATGATTCTCATTTTCCAACTGACTAGTTCTGGTGTATTGTTGGTTTTGACCTCGTGCTTTCTACAAAGTGCTAAAAAGGTTTGTTTCTTTGCCACAGCTTAACTAGATGCAAGATGGATGAGCAATGATACAAAGTTCTTGACTTGCAGCCTTTGGATTGGGTGATTTTTCTTCCCTTGAGATGGTTCGGCAAGAAGCTCTTGGTGAATGCTTCATATTATATCTATATGCAGCTGACACAATAGAGAGGAGATGATATATTAACATTCTACTTGGTTTTGCTCATAAGTAGAGTCATTGATGACATTTTGGCTTAAAAGGGTTGATTTTCCAAGAGAATGTCACGGAGGTAATCGTTGAAAGAAAGGAAAAGCGTGGCCGTATATGCTTTTTCGTTGCATATATGTCCTGACGTCGCTGCCTTGTCAATTTTGATTTCTAGAGTCCTTTCCTCGAATATTTCTGCCAATGTTTATAACTTTTGATGAGATTTATAATCTGGATAAACAGTAAACCTTATATTTCTGTATATATTTCCTCGGTCAAATACAAAAATATTGATAAATGGTCGTTCTTAAGAGGGTTCAATGGTGAATGTAGTGGGCTGTTACTCAGAATACTGTTGTTGGGGAAGGGAAGGTGAAGAGGTATTTAGCAGCGACTTTTCATTGTTCCAAGTTCTACCTCGAGCGTCTGTTTGATAATTCAACTTAATGCAAAAAATTAACTCATTCAAAACTTTTTGAATTCAACATGTTTAATAATTAATATGTTCAATTTAATATATTAAGCACTGTTTAATTTGTGTACAAACTTTTGAGTGAAAATTTTTTATTGAATTTTCTGAATTGATTGCATATATTACACTATTCATACATATAATGCACTTTCATGTGCACAAACTATACATTTGACACATACATACACATATACACCTGCAAATACACATATGCATATATTCAAGTACTATCTCTCAATTGTCTAATTATTTTCTCTCATACAATACACTTTACTCTCTCTCCAAATAATTTTAAAGATGAAAGTATAATATTTGTGTGATATTTTCATTTAGTGCTGTAATTCAATTCAATTAGTTATCAAATATGTATATTTATCAATTGAGCAACTTACTACTTTCAATATTTAACTTTCATATTTTGAAATTTAGATTTTAAACTTCAGTTTTATTAAACATGGCCAAAATGTATATTATAGATTTCCCAAAGTTAAAAGTTGTTGTCTAGGAATGTGGGTTTTTTTTTTTTTTTTTTCGCTCATTGCCCAAAACAGATATTCTTTGTATTGACTTATTTGTTAAGGATTATAAACAAGTTCCTTATTTCCTTAAGCTTCGCTAGAATGCTACCAATTTGTTTAGACGTCAAAATAAATAAAACAAAAAGAAGGAAAAAATATGTCACCTGATGAAACCTCTAACATATGCTACGTGGAGTCAAAGTGGAGCAAGTGGAAAACAAATATATAACTAGTTGCGAAACTGCGGAAGTAATTTCCAAGATGCTAAACTAAATCTACTAGCCTATCCTTGTCCATGCTGAAACCTTCAACTTCTTGTATCTTGTTAGGATCGAAATGAATATACTAACACCGATGGATTAACATGAGAAAAACTATTTATCTGGGAAGTGGTTAGAGTCTTAGAGAATTTCTTTTGGGATTTTTGAAGTTTGTCTTTTCGACGTACTATTAGGGTACAACAGTAACTTTTAATTTTTCTTCTTTTGGCTTATAGGCCAACCCTTAGCTTTTGTTTTTGTTTTTAGCGCATTTAATTAACTTTTGAATCAAGCAATTGTCAAAAATTTAAATGAAGTGGATTTTCAAATATTTGATTTTCATCGCTGTTTCAATTGAAATCACAAGTATAAATGGCTAATTTATGTAAAATGGATAATGAATAACTAGGAAAGTTATTTTTCTAGTAAAATGGCTAATTTATGTAAGTACAAATGGATAATGAATAATAATGCATTAAATTTACATGTATGCTATAGCTAGTTATTAAGTAACCCGTGTTTTTTTTTTCCATCGAAATATACCCACACTATTCATATAACTAGTGAATGATAATCTATTAGAAGTTTCAAGTTTCAAAGATGTTAAATCTCTGAGGTTTTTTAATTATTCAATACAAAACTAGTTATTTATATATTTATTCATTTGTACATAATGTAGTCGGGATTGTGATTTTTTGCAGAAAATTTTTTATATTTTTTATAAATATATTTTGCAATCTTTTTTTTTTACCTCACATACATCAAATCGTTATAATATATTTTTCTACAAAAACTTTTAATAATAACAATCCAAACAGGCTGGTGCCTCCATTGAAGATCCATCCGTCTTACGTCTTACGATAAAGTCTTCCTTTTATATACATTAACACTCATCTTTAGGGGCTCGTCGATCAACATGCACTTCATACTCTATATTTTACCTAGCAAGTTATCTTTAGTAACATAATCTTAAAAATGGATTGAAGAAATTTAACATTTTTTTTTTATATATATTTAATAGAACAGTACATGAAACAATTAACTCCCAAACGGCCCAATTTATTGAAACACTACTAATTATCACAAGCTTGCAGCCAATTTGAAGAGGTTCTTGTGTCCATTGACTATCGAAGGCTCATCCGGTTGCAGTACAAATCACAGTCCCGTCATGACGATAAAGCTTGCAGTGTGGTTTAGCCAAGCAACAGTTGCAGACGGGGCGAAGTTTCTTGTGAGGTGGATGTGGGCAAATCATGTAAGCTGCTTTGAAGCAGACGAGTGGGCATACTTTTGCACTTGCATGTTCCGGCTTCCATCCCAGTAGGATTGTTGCTGTTTCAATTCAAATCACAAGCATTGACTTAATTGTAAATCCCCATTTTCCACTAAAATGGCCAATTAACATACATAACTACAAATGCTTAATAATAATAATAATGCATTCAACTTAATTGTATGCTAAATTTAACTAAATTACTAATATGATATCTAACTACGCATACAACAGTCAAATGAAATCATGTACATCAATCTAGTAGATGAACGAGGAATTCATATCGCAAATTGAAATGGAAACAATATATTATCAATCAATACTAAATTTGGCTGACCATAAATTATCTATGGACATCCAGAGTATTAATCACATGAAATTTGTCAACATTATATCACAGAAAAGATGAAAGGTTTTAGTGCGGAAAATATACTTAGAATACTCTAACTTGGAATGAAAACCAACTACATATTGTGAATCATTTGCAGAATTGAGCGTACCGCAAAAGAGGAGAGTGATAATACCAACTTTTGTACCAGCCATGTCTTGGTGGGTTATGCTCCAAAGGGTTCTGCCATGGTTTTTATAGCACAGAAGACAGTCACCAAAAACATAGAAAAGTAAAAAGAAAATTAAATAAGTCCTCTTACACACCAACAAAAAAAAAAATTGGAGTAGCTATGAATTGGTCAAGTGGTGCCTAGTCAAATTCAGCAAAGGGATACAGAAAATGATAAGCAGCTGGAAGAAGGTTTCCATGCTAGTTAATTAATAGGTTTTCTTTGCTAGTGGGAGTATATTTATCTTTTATGAAAGATCAGCAATAATCGCCAGTTCAAATTCACACCTAACTTATTATGGCGGCTGGGCTGTATAGTTGAGGTTCGGCGCAATTGAGTGCAAATACCCATTATATTATTTCTGTACATCTCTCTCTTTATATATATGTATGTTCGTATACATTAAATTGGTTTACACAAAGAAAATCTATGTGCATAACGAAATTATATAAAGGTGTACAACTACTTTTAGAATAGCTGGTCATCAAGAGAGTTTCAAATCTCTACTTGGATGTAAGTCAAGGAATTAAATCCCTTGGATTGTATTTTAAAAAATTCAGACTTTTCTGAAAATTTCGTCAGTGGTTAGGTCCTTCTCCCCTAGTATAGATTAGGAGTAGATCTAGAATAGATTCTATTGTGTCTCAGAAAAAAAAAAAAAAAAAAAAGAAATTATGTAAAGGTGCACGTCATCAAAATTGCAACGATACCTGCTGGAGTTGTAAATTATATCTTGAGAGTTGAGATTTGGACTTTACATTCAAAGTCCACAGCAAGACTGTGCGCAAGATGTCTAATCTACTAGCTCATCCTTATCCATGCAGAAACATTCAACTTCTTGTATCTTGTTAGGATCGAAATGAATATGCCAACACCGACGGATTAACGTCAGCAAAATTATTTATTTGGGAAGTGGTTAGAGTCTTAGAGAATTTCTTTTCGGAATTTTTGAAGTTCGTCTTTGTAACTTTCGACATATTAGGGTACAACAGTAACTGATCAATGTTCTCAAGTCACGTTACCACCAATGAAAGAAGTCAAGACCCTATTGATACAAACAAGTGCAATGTATTCCATGCATTCTTAGGACTTATAGCTGTGCGTAGCCCCGGAAGATTCGCTCACAAGGACCAAATTTATGAGGACAAATCATGTAATAAGAATTATATGTGTGTGTCTATATATATATATATATATAATAGGACTCATATTATAGGAACTACACCAATAAAAATAAGCACTTAGTTTAACTCCATAAGACCTTAACGTGGAGGTATCCTATTAAAAATTCTAAGGTCAAGTTTGAGATAGCTTTTGTCAAAGCCTTACGTATTCAATTTTGACCCTTAGAAAAAAAATAAAACTTTTGATCATGATAATGCTTGAATTCCTTGATAGAGTTGAGTTTTTACAAGTACTTATTATGTTCGCAATATCTAAGCGTGCATGGGACCTTGAAACTTAAGGGATTCTTTTACTTTGTTTCTACTATACGCAAATAATATATATATATATATAAATAATTTTATATACACTATCACGGTTGGATAAATGATATATGAGCAAATTTTGAATTTTAAATTTTGCATATGTATTATATATCTAATTGTGATAGTATATACACTGACAGTATACATAAAATTAATCATATATAAATGTGTGTGTATATACGTAGATTTGTTTTTCGTTGGTTTGTTTCATTTGTTTTTGTTACTTCCGTGGAAGTTGATTGCTCAATCAAAAAAAATCACAAAACACAAGGCAATCCCGTGGAATGAATGTGGTCATCATGACTAGTATATATAATAAAATTGTATTCTTATACTTATCTGTTTTCTTATTCTCCATTCTCATCAGAAGAAAGGTCTATTTAATAGTGCGATACCACTTGTTGATAGAGGTTTTAGGTATTAGTTTTTAAAAAAAATTAAAATCAAATGAAAAAGTGTGTATATTGGAGGAGAAACGACAATTGATGATGTATTTACCCGCATGCAAAATTTTCTGTAAATTAGGTGCAATTGAAAAACCCTTGAAAGAGAACAATCTCTTTATTACGGACTAGGGAGATCCATCCAGAGCCCAATAAAAGGAAAATTGAAAGATTTCCGAAGCTTTGCAATAATATCTTTTCTTCCTTGATTTTGTAATAGTATATTGTCTTCGTTGTAGTTCTCATCCCTTGTCCAATAACTCAAGAAATTAAAAGAAAAAAGAATGGTAATTAAAATATGCACACAGA